CTGTAATCCTAGCTACTCAGGAGGCTGAGATCTGAGGATCGCGGTTCAAAGCCAGCCCGGGCAGGAAAGACCATGAGACTCCTATCTCCAATAACCACCAGAAAAACCGGAAGTGGCACTGTAGCTCAAGTGGTAGAGCGCTCGCCTTGAGCTGAAGAGCTGAGGGTCAGCGCCCAGGCCCAGAGTTCAAGCCCCACGACTGACCAAAAAAAAAAAAAATGTTTATGTACTAGAATAGAGCTTTGTTCTTTAAGGACGTTACTTAAAAGCGTACTTTCCCTGAACCTGTAGCATCCTGTGATTTTTTTCTCCCCTAGAATATCAACTCTAACAAAGAACTTCTGTGGCTTACAAAACCAGTGTACTTTGGGGGGGGATTGTGTTAAATGAATTAAACTGTTGCTTTTTTCTCCTCCCTAAGTTTCCTGAAGTTTCATTCCAGATGATGCATTTTTTTTTTGGTCAGTCCTGGGACTTGAACTCAGGGCCTGGGCACTGTCCCTGAGCTTCTTTTTGCTTGAGGCTAGCATTCTATCACTTGAGCAACAGTGCTACTTTGGCTTTTTTTTGTTTATGTGGTACTGAGGAATTGAACCCAAGCTTTCATGCATGCTAGGCAAGCACTCTACCACTAAGCCACTCTACCACTAAGCCACTTTCCCAGCCTGCAAAAATTTTTTTATAGAAAGGCTTTCATGAAAGCATGTCAAGCAGTAGCTCTATATACATTGGTTTCTGAGTTTTATTTCAAGTAGTAACTATATATGCATTAGTTCAGGACTCATCCCAGTCCCCATGTGGACAGTGTCATTCCATTAATTTGTTGTCAGATTAATTCAGCTACTGCAGTCAGATATCTTCCTTCCAAAAATCTTTATTTTGCTTGCCTTCCTTCACTTCTTGCCTTTCTTCCTTATTTCCTTCCCTTCACTTCCCTCTCTCTTTCCTTCCCCTTCTTCCCCCCCTCCCTCCCTGTCTGTCTGTCTGTCTCCTCTTTTTCTCTCTTGTTTTGTTCTCTCAAACAGACTCGTATGACTCACACTGGCCTTGAACTTGGGATCATCCCACCTCAGCCCCCAAGTGTTGGGATTACTGTGGTAATGATATCTAGATCCAAAGATCTTTACTCTTAGAATAAATAACCAACAAGTATATACATTTTGCTTAGGTAAATTAATGAAGGACTTGTTTTTCTGCTGCCTTCAATCCCTGGAAATTTTGTATTTCAATATGAAAAATCTAGCTAATAGGTTGAATATTTCTTCTAAATGTCTGAATTATGTATAATATAGGTATAATATACTTGTTTTCTTTTTCATGATTAAAATGGAGAATACTTGGATTTTTAAAACATTTAAATTGATGACTTTTACTTCCGATTTGTAAAAAGTTCAGTGTGCATGAGTGTTTGCCTAGGAATGCATAATTCAACGGAGGGAATTTTTATTTCTTGTTTGATTTCTTATGTTCTTGTTTTGGTAAATTGACATGCCTTTATATTATGTAAATTTTTCATCTTATGGTAATGTTCTATACTTATATTTTTGGGGTAAAGTATTTGATTTGTTAGCCAGCTAATTTGACTTTCATGTTTTTTGTTTGCTTTAAACAGCCATTGCTTAAATTTTTTTTTTTTTTTTTTTGTTATTTTGGGCTGGTTTCAGTAGTTCCTGTCTGTAATCCCAGCTACTTAGGAGGCAGATCTTGGGTAGACTATGGTTTGAGGCCAGCCAGTGGAGACGGGGAGTTAGCAAGAATCCATCTTAACCAATGTGTGATGGTACATACTGTGATCCAACTTCTGGTGGAGGCATAAGTAGGAAGATTGTGATCCCAGGCCACTCTAGAAAAGAAGTCGAGGTACTATCTAGAAAAATAATAACGAAAAAAAAAGACGAAGGTATGACTCAAATAGTATAGACCCAGAGTTTATACTTCAGTACCACCACCACCACAACAACAAAACACACACAACTTTTATGTGCATAGCTAATTCTAAGGAGAATTGGCTCAAAGTACCAATTGTGTGCTTCTTTGGGATCTTGGATAGGGAAAGATGTTATTAAACTCTTGTATAGTTAAAAACAATTTGTTTTAAACTTTTTTTTTTTTTTTTTTGGTCGGTCGTGGGGCTAGTACTCTGGGCCTGGGTGCTGTCCTTGTCCTCTTCAGCTCAAGGTGAGCACTCTACCACTTGAGCCACAGTGCCACTTCTGTTTTTCTGGTGGTTAATTGGATAAGTCTCACAGACTTTCCTGCCTGGGCTGGCTTTGAATGGCAATCCTCAGAGCTCAGAACCCTGAGGAGCTAGGATTACATGTATGAGACACCAGTGTTGGGCTTTTACCATATTTTTGTTACTGTTGGGGTGGGGGTGGGGCAGGGTGCGTGTGTGTGCACATGCCAGAACTGTGACTTGAACTTAGGGATTAATATACTTTATGCTCAAGGCTGGCATAGCCCTCTACCACTTGAGTCATACCTTCACCTCCAGTGCAAAGGCACGGGTTCGCCTCTCCCCTTCCTCCCTTCCCCCCCACTTCCCCCCCCCTCCCACAGTTTGTTGGAGGTAAGTCTCACAGACTTTACTTAAAAGCCAGGGTTGGCTTTGAACCATAGACCTTAGATCTCAACTTCCTAAGGAGCTTCATTACAGGTTTGAGCCAACAGTGCCTGGCTTACCAATCATATGTATTTTTTTTACATCTTGAGAAATATTTGATGATTTGGTGGTCTTGTTTGTGTTTCAGTAATGATGAAGATGAAATCCGGCCTGTGCAACAGCAGGACCTTCATCGGGCAATTGAAAAGATGAAGAAATCAAAGGATGCAGCATTTCAGAATGTTTTAACTCATGTTTGTTTAGACTAAGAGTAAAGGTCATTTGTACAGTTCAGTGATCTAGTTTGATGTGTCCTCTCATCAGTTTGTGGAAAGAGTGCTCACAGAACAGTGAGGGAGTCTGTGTATATGGTTTTAATACTAAGTTATTGAGGTATAGGCATAAAAGCGGTATTACTATTTGTCAGAAATCATGAGGAGGAACAATTTAACCCAGCCTGAATATGGGTGCTTGTGTTTGACCTCACTAGCCATATGTTGTTATAGCCTTATAGCATCTAAGCTGGTCTTAAGTCATGATTCATTGAATACTTAGTGAGCATTGGGAATGTGGTTGGGTGCTGGTTCCTAGACCTGTGAGCATGTGTGTATGTGAGTGTGTATGGATGTCTGTATATTAAATGTATATATCCACACATTTTTTTATTGACATTCTGTAGATATATTTGAATACAGAAACCTTTTTTTTTTTTAACCCCAATTACTGAATCCATACTACCAAGTAGTAATAGCACAACCAGCTTTTAAGGTTGTGTCTCACTGGTACTGTGATTCAGCCATTTCTAGTTGTCATTTATTTTAGGCTTCTTAAATTTCTGTCTGCAGTTGATTAGTTGAATTAGCCACAGCTGCATATATACATGTGGCTCAAATTATAATGGTTGTTAGGATAATCAAATAAAATTACTTGTTCAGTGATCAGCATGGAATGGTTATTAGGCAGACCGATTTCACCTCTTTCTGCTAGCATGTTGAGTAGACTTTTTTTTTTTTTATGTTTTAAATTGACTTATGTTTGGGTGGAGCCTTTCAAAAGAGTGGGTTGGAGAAACCTCAGTGCCCTTCAGTCCATGTCTGTATATGACCTTCCTTTCTTTTAATGTGACAGTTCTGTTTTAACCATGTGTTTTAAAATGTTATTTAAAAGTTATATGTTCTTTAATTATGGTCAAATATAATTTGGTCTCCCAAACCGAAATGACAGTTTAAAACAAGTAGCCATTACTAAATGTACTTAAAAATATTCATTTTGTAACTCATTTACATGTTTTTTTTTTCCTCACTGTGGCCTCATTAAGTACAAATGGACACATCAGAACTCCCATGATCTTATCTGTAGTAGTCATTCTATGCTCTGTAGACTACTTAGGAAACATTTTTTTATTGTTCAAAATTCTACTAACCAGAATTCTGTCACAGGCACCCAAGCACGCAGCACGACGAAAGAGCACAACAGACCGTAAGCTGCCTTCTCAATCATCCGAGACTAAATTATCTTTCAGATGTTTTTATTTCCTTAAACCCTCAATCGTTACTCTTGAGCTATTGGATGAATAGTCTCCCAAGAACCTGCTGAGTAGTTTCTTCCCCCATTTTGACTTTGGTGGGGAGAGTTTGCAGGAGAACCCTGTGCAACAAGAAGGCAGTTACTGATGATTGTGAGGGTGATGGAAAAACGAATGCCAAATACAAGAACCAAAAATTTCAAAATGTGTCCCAATTTTAATAACTGTTATACTATTATTTTGTAATGTGTAATAAAGGGGTCCCTCTTACTTAATCCTGGAGCTTTTTACATTATTTTGAATATTGAGGTTTTTGTTTGTAAAACGTGTTTAGGAAGGTTTTATCTTGCAATGAGGATTTTACATAAATCTTTATAGCATACATTTTAGTAGATAATCTCTGCCTTGTAGATTTGTTTTTAATTCTTTCCCCACAGGGACATGACACCTCTCAGTTTATTTCTGTTAATTACATCATAAAACAGAATTAGAACATACAGAAGAAATAGTAGTTATATAACAATATATATATTAAAAAAGTTTCTGTTGTAGCCCAGGGGTTTTAAAGCAAAGGGGATTCTCTATTACCACTTTGGATTTCATACAACCCTCCTCTCCCATCTTCAAGCACCAAAAGTATTGAGTGGGAATATAGTCACTTGAACATCTAATGAAGTCTAGGTTCAGTCAACATTTAGGAACTGTGTGGCCCCAGGGACTGGCCCTGGAAGAGCCCTGATGGATAAATAAGCAAGCAGCAACTCCCATACAAGCTGGGGATCTGAGTCCCCACCCTCTTCATCTGCCCTTTAGTAGGGTTAACAGTGCAGAGGTGAAACTGCCTGGTTTGTAGATAAGAGAACCAATTATCCATCTACCTCTTCTCTGCACAGGCAAAGGCATGGGGAGAACTCACAGTTCTGAGCTCCTCACAGGTTACCTTACTCAGTCTATGCTCTCGTGCCATGGGAAGATGGGCAAAGGTGAACAAAGCATCTGAGAAATGGCAACTGGAAACAGTTCCAGGGAGGTAAAGGGATGAGGCTAGAGACATGGTGGTGTAAACAGTGCCAGGAAGCACACCAGACTGTTCATGTCAGGGTGAAAAGGTCTTGACTCTAGAAACAAGTAAAAATAATGCTTCAGCAAGGCTAGTAAAGAACAGGGTGCCAAAATTCTTCATAGACTTGATTCCAGAGAGAAGTCCTTCAGAGGTAAGTGGAAAGCCTTGCCCTGACAGCATCTCAAAGCTGAAAGATAACAGGAATAGAGAAAGGCAATTTTAGGAAGCCTTTTTCTCACTTCAGTTACCCTTTGGAGGGAGTGGGCAGTCAACTTTTCTCTCATGTCAGTTCTGGGGCTGCATGGTGATGAGGAAGAACACAGGAAGCTTTTGGAAAGTCTGATTTCAGGAATCTCAAACGTGCCAGTAGGCTCCAGGAGTTTAGTATGTGATATAGGAGTAGGGTAGAGAAGAAATCACAGGCCCACATTTTCCTGTACTTACTAGAAGTGAATAGCCATCAGAAGTACCGGTCAAGAAATTCTTAAGGGAGAAGTACCTACTTAAGCATAGGAAAGACTGCAAAGGGTTCACTTATTAAAGACTATTTCATAGCATTAGGGAAGAAAAGCATTTGTCATAGAAAGGGATAAAATAGACAAGCCATTTTAGTTAGAGGCCCAAGCTAGGGTTTCCTAAGATGCTTTTCTAGTGCTACAATAAGAGAAAAAGCAACTGGGCACCGGTTGGCTTCTGCCTGTAATCCTAGCTACTCAGGAGACTAAGGTCTGAGGATTGTGTTCAAAGGTAGCCTGAGCAGGAAAGTCTGTGAGACTCCAAATAACCATCAGAAAGTCAGAAGTGGCTCAGAGAGATAGAGTGCTAGCTTTGAGCAAAAGAGCTCTGGGACAGCACCCAGGCCCTGAGTTCAAACCCCATGATTGACCCAAAAAAAGCAAACTACTTAAGGGGCTGAGAATTAGGCTAAGGTCAAAGACATGAGCAGCAGTGTTTTATATCTAAATTAATACAAGTATAGTGAGTTGAACAGTTATTTTTTGGGCAGCAGAAAAAGATTTTCTTGGTTCATGGGACATGACAAGAGAATACTTCTCTCCTCCATCTCTGCTTAAGTGAAGATTCTCATTTGCTGCCTCATGCTGAATTTTATTAGACCTTCTCTGTTTTCAGATCATTTTTGCCCATTCTGTTCATTTGCTGTATTAGTTAACTTGCAAATGTTGAACCATCTTTGCATTTCTGGGATGAAACCAATTTGATCATGGTGTATGCTCTTTTTAATGTATTGTTGAATTAGGTTTACAAGTATTTTATTGAGAATTTTTGCACCTATTTTCATCAAGGACATTAGTCTATAATTTTGTTGTGTCTAGTTTTGTCATCAGAGTGATACAAGAGTCATGAAATGCCTTCTCTCTATTTTATGGAATAGTTTGAGGAGTTGTAGTATTAATTCTGTGAAGGTCTGGTAGAATTCAGTAGTGAATTTATCCCATCCTGGGGTTTTCTTTGTTAGAAGACTATTACTGCTTCAATTTCATAGTGACTTGGGGATCTAGTTAAGTGGTTTCTATTCCTTTCAGTCCAGTTTTGGTAGGCAATATGCATCTAGATTTGTTCATTTTTTCTAAATTTTCTGTTTTTCTACAATGTAACTTTGAAAAAAATTAATGACCTTCAGAATTTCCTTGGTTTTTGTTGTGATACACCATTTTTTCATCTCTAATTTTATTCATTTGGATTTTTCACTTTGTTTTGGCTAGTTGGGGTAAGTTTGTCAGTTTGTCAATTCTTTTTGCTTTGTTTTGGTTTTGGCCAATATTAGGTCTTGAACTCAAGCTGAATGCTTTTGCCCAGCTTGCCTACTCACAGTAGGTACTCTACCACTTGAGCCTCTAGTCTAGCATTACATTTTGCTGACAAATTGGAATGTTGTCTCAGACTTTTCTACTCTAAGTTGAAACTAATTAGATGGAGATACTTAATTTTACCCAAACTCTTAACCTACCAATGTAACATGTGTTGGTCTTTGATCTGGGAGGGGTTTGGGTTGCAGCTTTGGATTTGTGGTATAGTTCTAAAAAGATTCTGGAATCTAATTCTGGAGAATGCTCAGGATATCTGGCCCTCTCTTGCCACCCAGGTGCAGAAGATTGTCTAGCACACCAGTGTGTTTTTATAAATGTATTTCTACCTTCATTGTGTGTGTCCCTGATGGCTGCATGATGACAGAATTCTCCTTATCCCCACAAGTTCTTCTCTCTTTGGACAGGCACATAGTTTCTAATACACTGTATCTGCACCCCAGATCCCACCCCCAGGATTAAGAACTGCCAGGCAAGGCTCTCTGCTTACCTCTGGAGGGCTTATTTTCCTCTGGAAGTAAGTGCATGATGAATTTTGGCACCTTCTGCTCTTTGGTAGCCTCAACAGGAGTATTATTTTCACTTAGTTCTAGAGTCACATTGAAGTGTACATATGCCTTGCCAGGACTTTTTCACCATGTCCTGAAACATTTGATGTACTTCCTAGCACTGCTTATACCATCATGTCTTCACACACACACACACACACACACACACACACACACACACACACACACACACACACACACACACACACACACACACACATCTCACTCACCCTGCCTATTTCATAGCCTTTTTGGCAGTGGAGCCACCAAGTTCTAGGAACCAAATTGGAATGTCTACATATTGTAACTTTGCATTGATCATTTATTACACTGGCTGTATCTGAGGTCAGGATCAGTAGTAAAAAATGACATAAAGACTTTAGGACAGATGTGAACTCCATTCAAGGAGAAACAGCTGTATGTTTAAAGGCCCCTGAGAGTGGTAGAGCCCTGTAACTTGTTTGTACATGCAAAAGTAGCAGCTGGTCAGGTTAGTGGAGGTATGGGGATTGCCAGAGTTTAAAAAAAAAAAAAAGAAGAAGCTGCTGGGCGTTGGTGGCTCACACCTGTAATCCTAGCTTCTCAGAAGGCTGAGATCTGAGGATTGTGGTTCAAAGCCAGACTGGCAGGAAAGTCCGTGAGACTCATCTCCAGTTAACCACCAGAAAACCAGAAGTGGTGCTTGGCTCAAGTGGTAGAGCACTCGCCTTGAGCTGAAGAGCTCAGGGACAGTGCCCAGGCCCAGAGTTCAAGCCCCATGACCACCACCAACAACAACAAAGCTATTTCTACACCTGCTGGTGAATGTCCTTGGGGATACTGTAAAAAGGGAATAAGGAAGATAGCCTCATCTCTGAAATGGAAGAGGAAAGCCAGAGCCTCCTGCAGTAGAATTCTAGACAGAGGCCCCTGAGCAACTCTGTCACCTCTGAAAAGGTCCATGTTAGTGCCTGGCTGAGACCACAGGTCACTTATACCTGAAGTACAAGTTAGAAATGACATGAGCCAGGGCAAACAGTCTCTTAGCGAGTTGTTGCTGCTGTCTCTATAAAGTCAGAAAGCCCTCAACAGTCCTGTGATTGGCCCACACCTAGTGTTACAAGACATCAAAGACAGGCTTGGTTCTGAAAATTTTATTAAAATAACAAGCATTAATTATACACAGAAACAGTCATTTGCACTAGGTGTAGTTCTAGTAGAACAGTTTAAAATATCTTTACACATCAAAATATGTTTGATAAGGCACACTGCCATCCTGTCTCATGTTTTCAATAAATATACTTTTTAAAAGGCATCTGATTAAATGTGTATAGGCACCATACCATTGAAAGACAAATTTTGCTGTGGCCATTTCATGTAATTTATTCTCAAAAGACCTTGTATTGGTTAGCATTAAAAAAATGATTAAGAAAAAAAAATCACAGTTTTCTTTCCAGTTTAGGTCTCTACAATAGAGACCTAGGTATAAAAAGTGCTATTTCTTCATATATCCCTTAACAACAATGAATTACACATAAAGTACAAAGAGTTCTCTCAGGAAACAGAGCCTTTAGGGCATGTCTCAAAACAGCTTGAGTCTTTGGTAATGTTTGGATTTCAACTGTGTAAACATGGAGGAGTTCAGGAAACCCTTGGGGTTTCTTAACATTTGGGCCTTTCCAAGAATGGTACAATGGTGCTTGCTCTGTGTGTCTGTGTGTCTGTGTGTCTGTGTGTGTCTGTGCACGTGCGCACGTGCACCAGTCCTGAGACTTGAACTTAGAGCCTAGGAGCTGTCTTCTTCTTTTTTTTTTTTTTTTGCTCAAGGCTAGTGCTCTGCCACTTGAGCTACATAGCTCCACTCTGGCTTTTTGCTGGTTAATTGGAAGTAAGAGTCTCATGGACTTTTTCCTGTCTGGAAACTGATCCTCAGAACTCAGCCTCTTAAGAAGCTGGGATAACAGGAGTCACCCACCAGTGCTTGGCAAATATGCTGCTTTTTAATTACACCCTCACCCCCACCTCCCGGTCTAGTTTTGTTAAGTAGTTAGGAATCAGAACCAGCTCTTGTGTTGTTTGGTCTGGGAGTTGAGTGGCCTGGGCACTCAGTGCCACCAGTACTTGGAAATCTTAATTTTGTGTTTGTTATGTCATCTCTGTTCACTACTGAAAAGAGAAATTTGCATTCCATATGTTCTGGGTCCTTTTGTGTGAATTTCTTGTGGTCAGAGTGGCTGCTGATGCAGCCTCTGAGGGACTTGTACAATGACCACAGCAAAGGAAGGGAAAGTGACTTTCCCTGACATGGCCAAATCCTATCATTAAGCACTCTACACTATTAAAAGTCACCATTTAAATGGAGTTACTATTCACAGGCTATTAAGACTTCTCTCGCTGTTAGATTAACTTTTGTGGCAGAAGTAGGTTGCATAGATTAAATTCACATCACACATTTGATTTCTCCAGTCAGGTCTTCAACACTCAGGATGTTGGGAAGTAAGGCTATTAACACTCATGAAGTAAAAGATTAGCGAGAATCTTGACACAAGCCACATGTCATTTAGTTGAGGGGCTGTTTATGTTTTACTACTGGTACATGATACTGGGATTGAAGGTTGGCAAGATTAAGCTGCCAAATATGATTTGCTTTCTGGCATGAGGTTAAGTGAAGAAATCTGGGATTTACTTGCTTAAATGCAGGGAAGAGAGAATTTCATTCTAAAATGTATAGTAATATTGCTTTTTCCTGCTAACATTGAGTCTTCAGTTGGCCTTTAATATATATAAAGAAGTTGATTTTAAATTATAGGGACAATTTTCAGCTCCATTACAAAATATAATTTTAAAATCAGCCATTGAGAAGCAATTGGATAGAAAGCATCGAAGATTCCAAAAATAGAAAGGTAATCAAAGAGCACTTTAGAAAAAGACTTGTGGAGCCAACGGGCATCTAGTTGATCTTTTCCAGGGATCGGTAGTAATCTGTCAGGACCTTCCATGCTTTGGGGGCCATGAAACCATCTGGAGGATTTTCTCCTTCCCTGGCGAGCTTCCTCATACGAGTTCCTGAGATGAAGTCAAACTCTTCATGCCTGTCATAGTACAGCAACACAACTCAGTGTAGGTAATAACATTTGCCTTAAAGATTCTTGGAATTTGGTGATGGGTTTTGGACCCATAGTTTAGTTTTTCTTTCTGTAAAATGCTGCATTTTTGAAAATGGGCAGTATTCTAATTCTTCAGCAATTGTTGGAAGAAAGGAAAATAATAGGTAGCCACTATTTTCTGTGCACCTGTTCTGTTATGGGAAGTATCTTGAGTCCAGAGACCATCTTCTGTTTTTCTTATATTTTCTGTGAGCTCTCAGCATGGAGATTTGATTTCATCATAAATACTCAATGGAATCTCTCTCTGTGTTACTTTATGAGCTAAGCTATTATTATTAATTTTTTAGACAGTTGTAGGGTTTGAACTCATGCCTGGGTACTGTCCCTAAGCCTTTTCACACAGGTAGCACTCTACCACTTCTAGTTTTCTGGTGCTTAATTGGAGATAAGAGTCTCAGGGAGTTTCCTCAGCTCTCAGCCAGCCGAGTAGCTAGGATTACAGGTGTGAGCCACTGGCACTCAGCTGAGCTATGCTATTTCTTTTGTTACTTCTTGTAATATGTTAGGCACTTAGTGCATGCTCAAGACATATATGTTGAAAGAGCAACAACTTGTGTGTGGAAGGGCGGGTGCTGGAGAGGAAATCTAGGACCTTGCATACTCTAGGCAAATGTTTTACCGAACTAAGCTATACTCTGCCCCAATAGAAGTATATGGATCATCTACTATACGCAAGGACTGTGCTACAATCTCACAAGGTATAAAGTGTGTAGAATGATGTCTTGAATGTCAAGGAACTCAATTGGGAGCATGCAGAAATTGAATGGAGAGTTTTCCAAAGGGTCAATCATTTTCTCATCATTACCATTTGTCAAGATGTCGATTAATTTTCCTCTAGAAACCTACCTTGCTGGATCATAGAAGTCCATGGCTTTTTTAGTTTTATTGTAGGCAGCCACTCGGAATGGAATGATTTCTACAGAGGTGAGGCCAGGGGCCATGCTCAAGACCTTGCCCCCATGGGTGGCTTCATACAGGTCCTTCTTGGTCTCAGGGTGAGGCATTCCTGCAGGATCCCTGCCTACAATGTAGAAATTGGCCCCTGCAATCATTCGACATCTGCAGTGCCATTGGACCTAGGAAACAACACATAAGAAACATGATGGTCATTGCAGGCCATGTCTAGGCGTTTTATGGAGATTTAGTAGTTCTGCTTTCAAAGTAATTCAGTGACACACATCAACGAAAAAGCTTTGAGATAGTGAGTCTAAGACTTTGTGCTATTTTCTTTTTTTTTGGTCAGTTGTGGGGCTTGAACTCTGGGGCTGGGCGCTGTCCCTCAGCTCTTCAGCTCAAGGCGAGTGCTCTACTGCTTGAGCCACAGTGCCACTTCCTGTGCTATTTTCTTTAGCTTGATTATATTGGGTCAGACAAGAGCTTTAAAGACATGAATTATAGGAATCTTTGTCTTAGAATTGGAGATTGTATTTCCTCATTTTGTTCTCCAAACAGGCTAGCAGAACAGGAACATTCAGATTCCTGTTAGCCAGAACTGTGTGAATTTACTTCCCAGTCCTTTCCTATTCAGCAAAAAATCACAGGTCCTAACATTTCATGATCCAGCTGCTAGTAATGAACTAATTTACCTTTGAGCTCATCACAACACTTGCCCTCTTTTTTCTTTTTGCTGGTCATGGGGCTTGAACTCTGGGCCTGGGTGCTTTCCCTTAGCTCTTCAGCTCAAGGCTAGTGCTTTACCACTTGAGCCACAGCATCACTTCTGGCTTTTTCTGCTTATGTGGTGCTGAGGAATTGAACCCAGGGCCTCATGCATGCAAGGCAAACACTCTACCACTGAGCCACCTTCCCAGCCCCACTTGCCCTCTTTTAAGTTCAGACAAATACAAAGTGATGGATAGGAGAACTAGGGATCTAGAACTTCAATATGATTGTGGCCTTCAGAAGGTCAGAACATTTGTGTTTGTTGTACTTTCTGCAAACATCTTCAAATTCGCCACACTGCAAAAGAAAAATCTGTCCCATAGCTCACTTTGTTATTATGAAGGGAGAACTTTTTCTCTCAAAGACATCTCCTATGGAATTCACAGCATGTGAATCACTTAGAGTAAGTGGGACTAGTGAATATTAGGGTAGACCAACTTGTCCTATAACCCAGATAAGCTTTGTTATCCATTTCATTCACATGCCAACCTCCTCAAAGCAAAAGATAACTGATTTGATATTTTTAGCATCTTTATAAATACAAAGAAGACCAGAAGATTCCAGCAATATGTTCATCAGGAAGAAGGCTCCCAAGCACTCATTTGCCCTCGTGAATAATGTATGAGCATGTACACTGAGTCCCATTGCCAAGACCAGCTCAGAACCACCCACCTCAGTTGGCCCCGCATATAACATGGGAGATGGGAAGATGGCAACAATGGTTGACTTGGGATCTAAAACCCCTTCCTCCAGCACAGCTGCGTGCTGCTTCATCCTCCAGTCAAGAGGAACATCATCATCTTTGGTCCAGCCCCCAAGAGGATGTAGCAGGAGGACTGGGTGCTTATAGCCCCTCTCCAGGAGCCGGCGGCGGGTGTCCTGCATCAACAGAGCATGGCCATTGTGGACAGGATTGCGCAGCTGGAATGCAAACACAGCATCTGAGAAAGAAAAGCAGAGAAGCCAAAGTCAAAGAAACAGTGTTGGTTGTTGCAAGGACAGAAAGGAAATAATGTAGTTATGTTTACTGTTTATTGCATTCATTAAATCCACTTGCTTTTGATAATCAGCTGCAGAAATATATCTGGGTCTTTAAAGATGTTAATCCAGTATCACCAGCAATGTTGTTGCTCAGACACAGACAGGGTACAGAGGCAGGAAGCCATAAAGGGAGATATGTGACTCAGGAATGAAAAGAGTTGTTGCCAGGATATTTCCTGCAAACCAAGGCTTTGACAGTTCTCTTCTACCTTGCTCCAGTCCTTATAACTGGGGCTTAAAAAATATTTTGGCTAGTAATTTGACTCCTTACTTGGGTCTGTAAGTTAACTAAAAGCAAGAGGAAAGCTTGGCATGTCGGTCTTCATTTTGCATCTGTCTTTTCTCTGAGTTATTTACCTTGCATTCATGTTTGAATCCAGGAAAGACTTATCTTTACAAGAGCAGGGAAGACTGCCTTCTAGTAAGGGAACAGCTATCTGCCTCTCGTCAGACCACCCACCAGGCAACGATGACTTGCTTATCTGGACCAATCTGATTCCCTCAAGTGATGACAGTTGTAAAAGTTCTCTGATCCCCTCCACAACTAAGACTGAGATACAGATCAACCAGGCCATTCTTTATCCAGGACCATCCAAGTATATGCACATCTTTCATACCCTGTCCAAATTCTTTATTTGAACCTTTTAAAGCTCATGTTTGTAGCTGGAAGATAGTTGGAGTGTTGCTTTGTCTCTTTTGTGGTGTGCCTGTATACAATAAACCTCTCTTCTCTACCTTCATCCCTCTCTATACCTTCACTACTACCTATATGGCATGTTGGGGTGAGTGGGCAGATCTGATGGGGAGTCCTGGAGTATGGGCTTGGCACCTAAAACTTGGCTGCATCACTTCACAAGAAGATGAATGATGATGGGAAGATTTTCTGCAGCCCGTGCATGCAGCAACAATCTACAGATATAAAAACAAGTCCAACCTCACTTAAAAGAAACCTTCATAACTACTTACTTCACTTAGACTCATGAAAGCCTTTATCTTTTTGTCTCTGTAATGTAATTAATTGTGGAACACCTCAGAGATATATAAAAACCTAAAACAATATGAAAAACACTAATTTATTATTTTTCTCCTCTCCAAAATGTATACAGGAAAAATTAAAATCTTCTCTTTCATCCAACTTCATCCCCCAAAGGAAGCTAATTGTCATTGGCAGTTTGGTGACACTGGAAGCATTTGTTTCCATATACAGAAATACACTGGGGCTTTTAAAATTCTGTTTTTAAAACCATGACTGTACTATACTCATTTTAATGTAATTTTCTTTTTCACTATGTTTTTTGTTATCCTTGTGCATATTTTAAGTTGCTGCACAGTAATCCAGTATGTGAAATGCTTTTTCCTCTCCCCCTTCCCTCCCAGTACTAGAAATTGAACTCAGGGCTTCTTATGGGTTTGTGTGGTGCTCTACCACTGAGCCGGACATCCAGTCCTTTTTGCTGCTTAGAGATGAAGTTTCCAAAAGAAAAGGACTTTTCTGCCCAGGATGGCCTTGAACCTTGATCCTCTACATCTCAGCTTCCTGAGTAAATAGGATTACAGGCATGAGCCACCAGCACCACACACAGATTTAAACTAACACACACACACACCAGCTGATGCATTAACTTCTTAAAATGCTTATTCCTATATTCTCAATTTCTTAATCAGAGAGTAGCAAGGAAAAATCAACAAATTCATTAAAGTCAGCCTACATACCAGAATTCATTTCTTTACATTTCTGCTTGAGCTCCAGAGGTGTCAGGCGGTATTGGTCCAGGCCATCATTCCACCTTATTCTCTCGAAGACCTGAAGATCTCCACCAACCAGCCAATCCCCACTTTCCATCACCATCTAGAAAGGACATTATTGAAGTTGTTAATGATGAATACCATTTTGACAAATATTCTCCTTTTGGACTTTGGATTACTATTAAAGAACTGATCCTAGTTCTCCAGCGTTTCTAGCACAGTATTTCTCAAACTGTTAAGTCTCATAATGTCTTCATAATTTAAAAAAATTCTGGGAATGCAGCTCAGTGGAAGAGCTCAGGGTCTGAGGAGCTTCTTCCTTCCTGAGGAGCTTTCATTTATGTATGTTTCTGTCTTATACAAGTTTCCATATTAGAAATTAAACAGAAACTTAAACATGGCTAACTGAGTTAAAGCAATCAATCCATTACATATTAGTGTAGTAACATTTTTAGCAAAAAAAGTTCCTACCCCATTAAATAAGAAACAGCGTTGGTTTAATTTATTTGCAAGGCTTTTTAATGTCTGACATAACAGAAGACAGCTGGTTTCCCATAACTTCTGTATTTAATTGATGGCAATAAATTTCTTGGAACTAAAGCAAATAAAGGGAGCTCAACTAGAGGCAGGTAGTTGGAAGAGAGGAGTTGAAATCTTTTGATATCATTGGATAATGTTTTGACACTATACCATATGCAACAAGTCATGGTTTCTATTTCTTCTCTCTCACTCTCCTTCTCCCTTTCACTCTCCCTCTCCTCTCCTCTATGTTTGTTGCTCCTGGAACTTGAACTCTTGCTAAGTTTTGGATTTGTTTTTGTTTGTTTTTTTGGCTTACAGCTAGCACTCTACCACTTGAGCCATGCCTCCAATGCCAACTTTTTGCTGGTTAATTGAAGTTTTGAGGATTTTTCTGCCCATGCTGGCTCTGAATCATGATCCTCAGATCTCACCTTCCTCCCTTCCTTCCTCCCTCCCTCCTCCCCTCTCTCTTTCTTTCTTCTTTTTCTTTCTTTGTTGTGGGGCTTGAACCCTGCACCTGGGTGCTGTCCCTCAGCTCTTCAGCCCAAGGTGAGTGCTCTACCACTTGAGCCACAGCACCACTTCTGGTTTTCTGGTGGTTTATTGGAGATAAGAGTCTCATGGTCTTTCCTGCCCAGGCTGGCTTTGAACCAGGATCTTCAGATCTCAGCCTCCTGAATAGTTAGGATTACAGGCGTGAGCCACTGGTGTCTGGCTCAGATCTTAGCTTTCTAAGTAGCCTTTTTCTTTCTTTCTTGAGGCCAAAGCAGGATTCATCCTGCCTCAGACTTCCAAGTTTTATTGCATCATATCTGGCTTCAAGAACTAAGGTTTTTTTCTTCTTTTTTTTAATAAAGTCTTCTTTTATTTATTTATTTGCTTGTTTGTTTTTGGGTCCAGTCGTGGGGCCTGAACTCTGAGCCTGGGCGCTGTCCTCAGCTCTTCAGCTCAAGGCTAGCGCTCTACCACTTGAGCCACAGCGCCACTTCCGGCTTTTTTCTTTTTTGCTTGTTTGTTTTTGGGTCCAGTCGTGGGGCCTGAACTCTGAGCCTGGGCGCTGTCCTCAGCTCTTCAGCTCAAGGCTAGCGCTCTACCACTTGAGCCACAGCGCCACTTCCGGCTTTTTTCTTTTTGCTTATGTGGTGCTGAGGAATCGAACCCAGGGCCTCAGGCATGCAAGGCAAGCGCTCTACCACCTTCCCAGCCCCTTGTTGCCTTTGGAATTTGAAACCTTATCAATATTTTTTTCATACTGTATTAAAAATCTATTGTGCTTTGAAGGAATCATTTACCTATGAAGGATTCTGTAGCATAATATAGTGGTCAACTAGAAAATGTTTATTCACTGAGTTTGTTTTTAAAGGCTGAAAAATTTTACTTTAGGATTTAAGCATATTAATATAGATTTATTCATACCATTCCTAGTCTCAGCAGAAATTCTAAGTGTGTGGAGCTGACAAGCCATGGTAAATACATGTTTGCCTATTTTCCCTTGAAACCTCAAGGTTAATAATTGTGAGATAATTAATCATCTCAACTGTTTCCCTCAAATTGACAGCATGGTTTTTCATTTTAAAAAATTTAGATGCTAAATATCCAAAGATGGCTCGTGGGAAACAAATGATAGAAAGACATAGAGGTGGGCTGGGAAGATGGCTTAGTGGTAGAACGCTTGCCTTGCATGCCTGAGGCCCTGGGTTCGATTCCTCAGCACCACATAAGCAAAATGAAAAAAGCCGGAAGTGGCGCTGTGGCTCAAGTGGTAGAGCGCTAGCCTTGAGCTGAAGAGCTGAGGGACAGTGCCCAGGCCCAGAGTTCAGGCCCTACAACCGGACCCCTCCCCCCCCAAAATGAAAGACATAGAGGTAGTGAGGGTATATCCCCACTCAATAGCATGTCATGAGTAGATAACTGGGTTTACAATGACCTTTTTCCAAGAGGGACTGAGGGAGGGTTGGCCTAGAGTAGTAGTTCTCAACAGAAGGTGACTGTGCTTTTCCTAGTGACATTTGCTGATATCTACAGACAATTTGATTGTTGAGTAGGAAGGGGTATGCTGCCTCAAGCATCTAGCATGTACAGGCCAAGGACACTGCTACACATCCCACATGCCACACAACAGCCCTCACAGCAAGTATCTGTGAAGTATCTGTGCTAAAGAGTAGCACAAAGAATTAGCCCAATTGGCATAATTGTGTTGAGTTAAGGAAACTCGGGCCAAGAGAGGGTAACTGTGCAACAGATTGTACAATAGAATACTGTCAATAGTCAATGGAAGTAATCTTAGCTGCTTAGGAGGATGAGAGCTGAGGATCGTGGTTCAAAGCCTGCCTGGGCAGGAAAGTCCCTAAGACTCTTATCCTCAATTGACCATCAAAAAAGCTGGAAGTGGAGCTGTGGCTCAAGTGGTGGAGCACTACCCTTGAGCAAAGAAAGCTCAAAGCTCAGAGACAGAGCCTCAGCTCTGAGTTCAAGCCTCAGTATGAACACATGCACACACAAAAATAACTATACTGTAAGTATAATAACTATAAGTAACACTGCCCTCATTGCTTAGGCCACCCATAAAATTTTGAGTTGACACCAATTCCTTGAGGGTAGAGTTACTCATTCTGGACACTAGGGGGCAGCCATGTACTCTACTGCTCTCTATATATACTGTATTGCTCTACTGGATGAAGACAGACTTCAACTACTTTGATTACCACCCAGCATAAAAACATGGCTGTATTATTTATCATAGCTAAGATATGGAGCCACCCCAGATGTCCCCAGTAGATGAATGGATCTAGAAAATGTATTATATATGCACAATGGAATTCTACACTTCCATTCTACACTTGTCCCATTTGTAAGGAAATGGATAGACTTGGAAAAATCATATTAAGCAAAGTAAGCCAGACCCAAATAAACAGGCTCCATGGTTTCCCTCATCTGTAGTAATTAGTATATGTCTAGGATAGTTCTGGAAGAAGATTACAATAGCTCAATAACTACGTATACATGACCATACAAAATGATGCTAAGTGAAATGAACTCCAAGATATGGAAACAAGAGAGTTTTTTTTTTTAATGCACTCTGTTGTCATTTCTTTCTCCTTTCATTTTTCCCCCTCTGGTTTATCCTCTGTTGTCACTGTTTTTGATTTTGGTACCCTGTACCTTGTATATACATTTATCTGGTTTGGGGAAGAGAAGGGGAATAACAAAATAGTGAGACCAAGGACAAAGGGTGAACCAATGCAACAGCAATGCTCACAAGACACTATGTTGGAAATGAACTCTGCAACTTGCGTGGGGGGGGAGGAGGAAGATTAGGGGGGAGGGAAAATGGGAGAAAACAAGCGGGGGGGTTAACACTGTTGAACAAGAAATATACTCATCACCTTATGTAGCCATAACCCCTTACCTTTACAATAAATAAATTGCCTTTACAATAAAATATTATTTAAAAAAGAAACACACATGGACTTGTGGCACATGGAAAAAGGAAATACATAATTCTTTAGAAGTAGAAAGGCCTTCTTCATGAAAATGGGTAATTCTGCTCAGTTATCAAGTTTGAAATTTCCAAGGGCGGGGAAAACATGGCTGTGTGACAAAACAAATTTTAAAATGGGGCTTGAGGGATTTCTGGAAGGTGGCGGAACAACCCTCTAAGAAGGGGGAGGAACAACTCTCCCAGGACACCTCTCTCCACGCTGTTGCAATTCTCCTATCAGGAAGGGAGGTCTAGGGCTTTGTGGCCTCAAAGAGGTCTGAGTCCCCTGCCAGACCCTCAAGGTGACAGCTTAGCGGTTTTTCAAAACTGCATGCACAGAGGATAAGAACAGGCCTAAAGAGTCTGGTAAAGGAGTGAAAGAAGAACAGGGCTCAGAACCACAGAGGAGGATCTGAGCTCCAACAGCAGAATAAAGAGTAAGCGATAAGAATAGACTACACTAAAAAAAAAAAAAAAAGAGGCTAGAATAGAATCACTCAATCTGAAGACAAGGGAATGAACAATTGAGAGAAGAGGATCATCTGAGGTGAGATAGTGCAGAGATCAGAATGAAGGAAAAGGAGAGAAGGGAGAAAACAGAAGGAAGGAAAGAAGTAGTGACTTTGGGAATATCCAGCCATGACGACATGTTCAGGAAGAGAAACTAACACCACACCTGTGAAGAGCTCACATTTTACTCCTGCGTTATCATGGAATGGAGCTTTAAGGGACTTGGTGATCATATAGATTTTCAGAAGATGGCTTTGCGGAGAGGAAGCAGTAGTGTTCAAGGGCACACAGCTGCCTTACCAAAGCCAGGGCCCAAATCTAGGACTCTGCGATCTCCGTATACACCAAACCCAAAAGACCTTATCAGTGCTCCCTCCCCAGGGTAATATTTCCCTATCATCTTCCACAGTACCCAACACAGGGGTGGATGGAACAAGTATAGATTTCCCTGGGAGAAGGCAGAAGGGGATTTGGTTGTACTGATGGGTCATGAGAGTTACTAATGACTCATTAAAGGAGGAAAAACAGCTGAGGCAGCAGTAGGAGAAATGAAGTCCTAGATTGAGGAATGAGCATGTGCAAGACCAGCTTCAGAAGGACCGAAAATAAGCTGGGTTTAAGAGGTCAATCACGTTTCTGCAAAGGGGTTTTCACATCAAAGGTTAGAGCACTGGCTGACGCGTGAGCACTGGTGTGGAGGGGAGCAAGGTAAGAGGCAGGGAAGCTTGTAAATACCATGGCCCCCATTAGAACAGGAGTGAATAAATCCCACGTAGTATAGGAGAAGCAGACCCGTCAGAGCTTTGTGCTTGAACAAGAGAAGAAGAAACAAGTGTGGCATCAAGGTTCTGGTTGTAAGTCCCTGTTTGGATGTCAGAGCTGCCGGTGAGACAGAAGACACACAGGGAAGCAAGTCTGGGGTTAGACTGTGCAGCCTGAACCCGAGGCACTGTCAGCATACACCCATTTGAAGCCAGATAGGAAACACTTCCAAGTCATAATCTAATGAAGTGCTTCTCAGCTTCATAATGCATTCAAATCAAAGGCGCTTTAAAAAGCAATTAAATCAGCATCAGTGGAGGTAGAATCTAGTCTGGGGTATGTGTGTCTATGGTTGTTGTTGTTGTGAGGTTTTTTGTTGGTATTGTTGTTGTTTTGTTTTGTCAGTGTCTCTGTGATATAGCCCAGGCTAGTCTTGAACTTGACCCTCTTCATTCTATATCCTGAGGTTGGCATGCATGATTATACCCAGCACAGTCCAGATAATTTTTAAACATTTTAGGTCATCTAGCCATTGAGTTGTCACTGTGAAGTCAGAGGATATGAAACCTTTTATTCTGGTCTTTCATTGGGACATTCTTTTGATTTCTACATATGTAACATGGAAGCACTGATTTCCCTGCTGCACAGGAACATTGTGAGAACTAATTACTGCTTGGAAAAGCTTCGGGAGCTATAGATGAAAAGGAAACCGGGTTACTCCTTGCAATGTTTTTACAAGTTTCACCTGCTCTTCCTAGTGGCTTCCCCTGAGGTTATGTACAGGTGCTATATTTATTGATTCAAAGAGAGTCCTTGAATGGAAGGTCAAGCATGCCCTTGTGCCCACATGTCGGGCACTGTGGCTCAAGCCAGTAATCCTAGCTTCTGAGGAGGCTGAGATCTAACGATTGTGATTTGAAGTCAGCCTAGGCAGAAAACTCTGTAAGACTCTTAGCTCCAATAAACCAGCAAAATGCTAGAAGTGGATCTGTGGCTTAAGTGGTAGAGTGCTAGCCTTGAATGACAAAGCTAAGGGAGAGCATGTTGCCTGAGTTCATGCCCCAGGATGACAGAGAAAGGGGAGAGAGAGAAAGAGAGGAGTGCTCTCAAGTGAAGGGCTGGAGAGCAGAGTCAGACCATTTCCTTGGCATCAGATCATTTTCTGTGAACTTCAGTCTCAGTACCACATAGAAATACAAGAAATGCCCATGATTATTTTAGGGAATGACAATTTAGGGAACATTTCTGTTTCTAAAAAATTACCTTAACATATTACTGTCTTTTGTTTGTTTTTGTGGTCGTGAGGTTTGAACTCTGGGCCTGGGCGCTGTCCCTCAGCTCTTCAGCTCAAGGCGAGCGCTCTACCACTTGAGCCATAGCGCCACTTCTGGTTTTCTGGTGGTCTATTGGAGGTAAGAGTCTCACAGACCTTCCTTCCCAGGCTGGCTTTGAACGGTGATCCTCAGATCTCAGCCTCCTGAGTAGCTAGGATGACAGGCATGAGCCACCAGCGCCCAGCTTATTACTGTGAGTTTTAAGGTGTTAAACATACACAGTTTTTTCTTTATAAATCTTGTGTGTTATGCATTTGCTAAATGAGCCTTCAGCTCCCCAAGTGTAGTCAGTGCGTGTGGACTGAGTGGCTTCTCTGGTTATACACAGCCCATTTCTCTCCATTAGTTCACTGGAAATATTTACAGAAGACACTGACAATATTGTCACTGTCCAAGTGACACCATCACTCTCCCTGGTTTCTAAGAAACTGAATGCAACTGGTGACATGTACTACAAGACAGAGGAAAAGAAGTCATCACTTTAAGAGCTTCCTGAGGGCTTTAGTGCAAGCCATGTGGATGTTGTATCTGAAGAAAGAAATATCCGTGGAAGGATAAAGACAGACAGTTATTCTTATGGCCAGTAGCTATATGATTACAGTCTTGAGCCTGTATGATTACAGTCAGGAAAGAAGAGATTCATGAAGCTTAGAACTTAACAGTCCTCAGCAGGCCCCAGTAAGTGTCCAGCAACCTCAAGGACTATCATCCTCTGAGAAAAACAGCCTGCTTTGCATGTGTGTAAGATTAGAGCTACTTCTCTCTCTCTCTCTTTTTTTTTTTTGGTTGGTAGTGGGGCCTGAAAGCTGGGCCTGGACGCTGTCCCTCAGCTGAAGGCTAGTGCTCTACCACTTGAGCGTCAGCCCCACTTCCGGCTTTTTCTGCTTATGTGGTGCTGAGGAATCGAACCCAGGGCCTCATGCATGTAAGGCAAGCGCTCCACCACTGAGCCACCTTCCCAGCCCCTAGAGCTACTTCTCTTGAGGGCAGTTAGCTGTGTCCAATAAATTTAAAAGCTGCTTTACTTGACCATTGACCTCTTGTGGTTTGATTAAAAAGGCTCCAGAGGCCACCACCAGGGGCCATGAAAAGGTCCTTCCTATCTTGGAACATTTCACAACTGAAGAAAAACAAAACCAAACCTTAATTTTCTACAGGGTCATAAGCTGTGAGGCATATTTTGGTGTCCTTGATGAAGAGCCAGTATGCCTCATTCATGTTCAAAGGCTCCCAGGCCTTGATAGCTCCTGACAGTTGCTCTAGCTGGGGAATTTGAACAACGAAATGAGTAGAATATGCTCTCTTCATTTTTACTCTCGTGCCTTTATCTCAGATGAGAAATAGTTTTTGCATACAATTACAGCTTTTTAGTGGAACCCCATTCAAGCAGTCCTCAAGACCTTGGCTACCAACCCTATCTGTAGTTAGAAGCTGCCCAAGGGGTTAAGGAGGGTTGGTCTATTTTGCTTTTGGAGAGGACAGGCCTTCAATGATCTTCACCACATACACACATTTTTCATCTTCAAATTATCCTTTGGTAAAAATGCATAATCTTTCCTCTGGGAACTCAGCTAATATCTGTGCTAGTTATCCTTGGTTGAAGAAATGTCATTGACCCATTCACTGTCAACAGATCACGAACTCTCAGTTCTTTTCCAAGAGTTGGTTGGACACAATTCGTGTGTATTTTTCAGAGGAACAGGGCTGCCAACTCTATTTGTTGTTTTGGGTCCTCTACTCAAGATGTGAGACTAAATTATCTACTTAGTCCCACTTAGCTGAGGATGAGGGCATCAGAGAATCGGATGATTTAGGGGGTCATCAAGACCAGCCATCAACAGAAAGACATTCTTTACCATCTTTCAAAATCTCCCTATGCAAAAATCTATCTTAGACATTCAGCCTTCCCTACTTGGGAGGCAGAGAATGGGAAGTTCATGGTTTGAGGCCTGTCTGGAGAAATAAAGTTAGCAAGAAAGGCCATTTCTCCAACCCATAGTTGGGTACAGTGGCAAGTGCCTGTCATCCCGACCTACATGGGAGAGTGAGAAGTGGGAGCCAGGTCTACCGGGGCACAAAAGTCCATGAAACTCCATCTCCATGGATGGGAAGTTAGAAATGGTGGTGCACACTTGTGCTCCCAATGACAACAGAAAGCCTATAGTGGGAAGCTTAGGCGTGTGCTGGAGAACAAGGCCTTACCCTAAAAATAACCAGTGAAAAATAGGACTGGAGGCATGATCCAGTCTATCTGCCAGCCTGGCAAGTATGAGTTCCAACTTCAGTTATCACCACCAACATAAAGAAAGACATGAAAGGAAATGAGTCTTCCATCAGTTCTTTTAGGCTTCCATGAAAACTAAAAAGAATCATTTGTTGTCCTCAGTAAAAAGTAGATGGAGAAAGCCCTTCCAAAGGTTTTGCCACTTACTTTGATATGGGGGTGCTTTACACACGTTGTGCCCCACACCCGAGAACAACGCTCTTCCTTCCGATGCTCGTAGAATTCAGGGTCTTGTAAGATAGCCACCTTCTGCCCACCGTAGGTCAGGACAAACTCACTGCACCCCTCCAGCCTTGCCTTGTCGTCTGCAGAGATGGGCAGCACGATGGGGATGCTCATGTTGATCACTCCGTCTGCGGAAAGACCCGGCCTGAAGCATGAATACTCGGATCTAAAGGGTGTCCCGTCCTGGGTTTGTTGCTGTTGTTTCTTTGAGACAAAGTCTCATTCTGTAGCCCAGACTGGCCTTGAACTTGCCATCTTCCTGCCTCTGCTTTCCAACTGCTGAAGTTACAGGCCTGCACCACAACCTCTGACACAGGTGTTCTGTCCTTTATGAATAACTCAAACATAGACAGTGTCCCTTCTGAAGAGTCCCCTGAAAAGGCTTTAAGACCTGAATCCAATGTGTTTGCATCAGCTGCCCCAGTTTCCCTGAGTGTGTGACAGGAAGTCCCCAGAGGGCCTCCACACGCAGGAGCCAGAGTGTATGAGACAGTGGACTGAGTACAATCAAAGGTCAGCTCAGTACCGGACCTCATTTTGCAGATAAGAAGGGGACATTTCCTGAGGTCCTTTAAAAAAATCTTTGTCCTGATCCCAAAGCTCTAGAGTTTAAAGTTTTAACAACCCAACTATATAAAGTTTGACAAAACAAAATGAAAGTTGAAACGAAACAGAAATCACTACTTTTTCTTAGACATGAACCTTTTAACCAATATTGGGCACTGCCAGTGCACTGACCTGAAAAGAAAGAAAAAAAATCAGACAATTTACATTAGTTAATGGGATCCCCAAAACAAGTAGTTCTGTTCACTGTGGTCCAGGTACAACACTGCCTTGAAATAGTTTTGAAGAGACTGATGATATCACTCATCTGGAACACACAAGTCCAGCTAGCTCAACTATAATAGAGAGAGACTGTCCAACGTGAAAAAACTCAAAGGAGTGAAACATAATTGACTTCAACTCATGTAAATTCTTCAGGAGTCCCTCTCACCTTTATGCCTTACTTTGGAGGAATTTAAATAAGCCAGCTTTTCTGACTTCTCACTATATAACACAACCAATCAGGAGGTAGAGTGTGCTGCTTTAAGAAGCTAGAGCTTCACTGGGCCCAGGCATGTATATTTTGGTAACTCTGCCCAGATGAATATTAAAGACATCCTACGATTTAAAAAAAAAAAAAAGAAGAAGAAGCTAGAGCTTCAGCAGCACAAAATGTAAACAGCTTGACCATAAAGGAAGAGACTGGAATACTGTGAAAAACAGACGTAGAAGCTGTGATGATTAATCTTATGTGTCAGCCTGGCTAGGTCACGGTACCCAGTTATTCAGCAAAACATTATTCTCAATGATTCAGTAAAGGTGTTGGTTTTTTTTTAAAGGAGAATTACTATTTAACTCAGTAAACTCGGATTAAATTAGACATTCCTCCATAATATGGATGGAGCATATCATGAAAAAAATGAAACAAAATGAAATAACAAAACATAGGTTTACCTCAAAAGAGGGAATTTGGGCAGCAGAATACCACTGGATTTTGGACTTGACCATCTCTTTTCTGGGTCTCTAGTCTGCTGGCCTACCTTGGAGATTTAGAACTTGCCAGCTTCTACATTCCACATTCCCACTTCTCATGTCATATATGTATGTGCATGTGTATGTATATATATGCATATATTATATATACACACACACATATACATACACATCCTGTTGGTTCAGATTCTCTGAAGAACACTGACTATGCAGAGACTAAAAACATGGAATCAGCGAGAGGGTCAACAGCCATACAGGTGTCTCACTTCTCAGAGGACCATTACATAAAAGCCCAGTTTAATAATTGATTGAACTAATGATGACAGCGTCTGTGTGTTTATGCATGTGACTTTGTATGTATGTGTGTCCATGCTGGAGTTTGAACTTGGAGCCATGTGCTGTCACATCTGTCACTTTTTTTGCTCATGGCTGACACTCTACCTCCTGAGTCACACCCCATTACATTTCACTTGGCCATCGCCTCGCCCCGTCCACGGGCTCCCTGAGCAATGCAGCTTCTGTTCCACCTGTATCTTGGCACTGTGTGAACACTGGTAAGGACAAAGCAGTGCTGGCTGTCATAATGGGATGGCATGGGAAGGAATCCTACAGAGTAACAAAGCAACTGCTCCCATGCACTGAGAGCTGCGTTCCACGTGGGTGTATACAAATTGACTGTGGCTTCCACTGCCATCTTGTTCTATTTTTCTATTACTTAAACTTATACAACAGTTTGAGTGCAGTGAATATTTTCTGTGGCTTTAAACATGGATTTGGACTTTCAGCTTTTCCTTCAATTGTTTCAACTCTGGTGGGAACTGCCTTGATGATTTTATTGTTTTATATCTCATTTTGGAAGAATGTTATGGGTCTTAATCAGGGAAAGTCCAACAGATAACTTCTAGTCCAACTGAATAATTCATTCTTTGCCTTAAATAATTTTCAGGCCTTCCTTGTAGATCAGCTGATGGGTTCCATTGAGTGTTCTTATGTATAAAAGAATCTTCATTTCACCTAACATCAACTTATCTGACCTTTTCTGCTTGACTCAGACATATACCAGTTTTTGCAAATAAGGGAAACCATGGAACCTAAGTTTATTTGGGCCTGACTTACTTCACTTAATATAATTTTTTCCAAGTCTTTCCATTTCCTAACAAATGGGGCAATGTCATTCTTTTTGATGGAGGCAGAATTCCATTGTGTATATATACCACATTTTCTTTTTTTTTTTTTTGTCGGTCGTGGGGCTTGAACTCTGGGCCTGGGCGCTGTCCCTCAGCTCTTCAACTCAAGGCGAGTGCTCTACCACTTGAGCTACAGCGCCACTTC